CGCTGCACCAGAGCTGCTGCGTCATCGAAATTCGGTACCAGTCAGCAAGTCAAGTCACAGCTCTCTTTGACACCGTCCCCGTCCACGAAGTCCTTATTGAGCACGCCACGACTAAGACACAGACACTCCCCGCGTTAAACTAAACCACGGATAATAAATCGAAGGACGACTGCGGGACGGGGACATGGGCAATGCCCTCCTAAGTAGCCGGACTAGGTCGACAAGCCGGCCAGGAAAAGGTATGCGAAGTGGGTCCAAGCGGGCAGGTCCGACTGGGAGGCGTGCAACAATTCGGACCATGCGCCGGTCATCGCCGAGCTCGGGGTGAAGTTCGCCAAATACACGACACAGGAGGAACTACCCAGGTCACCTAAGAAATTGCGGGTGGACCTACTGAGGGACCCGGACACCCGGGAAAAGTTCCAGAAGAGGGTCGGGGAGTTACTCGGCCAAACACCACACACGATCAGCTCACAGGAGGTGGGACCAGGACACACGACACCATTAACACCAGCGCCAACGGAGCACCATCCCACACCTGCCCGTGTAGGCGAAGACTCACAAACTCTCGCCCACCTATCCCAGGCGACACCCACCGACACACAGAGTACGACGCAGCAACCCACCATAAACTCACTGTGGGGTGACCTCAGTGCGGCTCTACTTAGCGGCGGTGGAGAGGTGCTCGGGAACGAGCCGCGCCGTCAATCACAAAAGTGGTACGACGAGGAGTGTAATGCGGCGCGCCTCCGCCGGAGGGAAGCCCAAACGGCATGGAGGGGGTGCCCCCGGAACGAAGACACACGTGAGGAGTACAAGAGTAAGCACGCCAAATTCAGGAAAACGTGCAGAAAGGCACGGAGGCTCTTCCACAACGCCAGGTATGAGAGGTTAAGTGTCGCCCATGAGGCGGGTCAAGTGAGGGAGTTCTTTGCGCAGGTCCGGAGAGAGAAGGTGGGCTACTCCCCGCGCACCGGGATGGTCAAGGCCAAGGACGGGGGCCTGGTCACCACCCCCCGCCATGTCCTGGACGTGTGGATGCGCCACTTCGCGCGGGTGCTGGGCGCCCCCGAGAACAACGAGCCCCCGCCGGACCCACCCAAACCCGGCGAGGGCGACAAGAGAGAGAGGGAGGCACCCACCCGCGGGGAGCTGCTGCTGGTGCTCGACTCAATGAAGTCGGGCAAAGCGCCTGGCAGTGATGGCATCCCCACGGAGCTGCTGCGGCACGGTGGAGAGCAGCTGGTTGACCGGCTCCTGGAGCTGGTGCGCCGGGTGTGGGAGGAAGAGAGAATACCCGACATGTGGGAGGAGGCAGTCATCACGATGCTGCATAAAGGTAAAGGGGGGATTTACGAGTGTAATAATTATAGGGGACTCTCTCTCTTGAATTCAGGATACAAGCTGCTGTCGTCCGTTATCCTCCGACGGCTGACGACGTACGCAGAGGCAGCGACAGGAGAATATCAGGCGGGCTTCAGGAAGAATAGAGCCACCACGGACCACATCTTTGCTCTTAGGACGATATTGGCCAGGCGGAGGGAGTATCGCCAAGACACCCACATGGTATTCGTGGACTTCGCGAAAGCCTACGACTCCATCGACAGGGCGGTCCTCTGGCAGAGGATGGAGGAGATGGGAATTCCATCGAAGTTGATCCGGATGATGCAAGTCCTCTGCAGGAGGACGAGGAACAGAGTCCGGGCAACGGGCTATCTGTCAGAGGACTTCCTGACGACGAGTGGGGTTCGTCAAGGTGACTCCCTCTCCCCGACCATGTTCAACCTGGCGTTGGAGTCAGCGATGAGGCGGGTGCTGGTCCGAGTCGGCAAAAACGTTCGACTGATGGCCTACGCAGATGACATCGTGATCCTGGCGCCCAATCGTGAACAACTGGAAGAAGCGATGAGAGCCCTAATCAAGGAGTGTGCTGAAATTGGGTTGGCAGTGAACCAAGACAAAACGAAGTACATGCCGGCCACGCACAACCCCCAAGAAGGAGACAACGAGCCACTGCGGGTGGAAGGCCACAGCTATGAGGCTGTCAGGGTGTTTAAATATTTAGGGTCCTACATAACGTGGGACAATGACAGCTTTGTAGATGTGCAAGAGCGCATTAAGACTGCATCTCGTTGTTCCAGGGCACTGACGTCGATGCTGCGGGGCCAGTCCGTAGGAAGGAAAGAAAAAATCGTCATCTACGATGTGGTCATCAAGCCAGTCGCGCTGTACGGGAGCCAGGCGTGGACTCTCACGGCCAGGTGCAGCGATGCGTTGACCACATTTGAAAACCAGGCTCTTCGCAGGATGGTGGGCTGGGACCACTCGGGTGGCTACGCCCGCACTCGCTCGAATGTGGAAATCAGGGACATCCTCAAGTACAGGAAGTACATTGTGAGTGCCGCGCGTGCCGCCGCCCTTAACTGGGCAGGACACGTGGCTCGCGCCCCGGTGGAGCGCATCATCAACCAGGTGGAGACGGAGTTGGTAGAGGGCAAGCGGGCTAAAGGGAAGCCAAAGCTGCGCTGGGGAGACTATATCACGGCGCTGGCCAAGGCGAGGGGCCACAAGGACTGGAGGGCCTTGGCCAAGGAGAGGGAGGAGTGGGCTGATTTCTGTATGTTGGTAGGAGCCGAGCCGCCGCCGCCCCCCAAACCTCGCCCAGCCCCTGCAGGCGAAACTGCCGTGGACGACGTGCTGCCTGCAGTCGCGAGGACTCCGCCCGCCACCTCACCACCCCAGCCACAGCAACGAGTGCGGACGGTCCACTCGCTGAGTGACAGCGAGCCAGAAGAAGGACACTGAACGGTGGAGCAAAGGACGGGCCGCGCCTTCCCCCTTCCCAAGGGCGCCGGCCCGGTGTATAGAACAATAGACAGGCTAACCTTGGTCTCTCTTACAGCATAAAAAGGTAACGAGGCTACCCGGTTACGCTGTGTGGCTATATGTCGTTCATTTATTACAGCAGTCTCCAAAGGCGGGGGAGGGGGGGGGGGGTAGGATGCTGCACTGCACTGCACCTAACTGCCACTAATGTAGCTAAACATCCTCTTACAGCAGCTCATCACATGACCACTATGAGGGGGTGCAATGCGCACCACCTCAAGGTCAAGTGGCAGGGGTTAACACCTCACACGCACACGCCACGGGCGGGAATGCGACAACCGGGCGGTGATTTGAGTACATTTCACCCGCTGCAGGTTGATGTAGCCCGCCCTTATACCGCCACTGAGGCGATGGGGACCAGTACAGTCGGGACCGCCGTATCAGCCTGAGCTAAAACAGAGTGCAGACGGCGACCAGTGAATACGGTGCGGCGCGACAGGCTGTGCACTCCCGGCCGGACCAGCACTAGCTGGAACGCAGGGGATGGGCCGACTGAGGCCTGACTGCGTGACCCAAGTTATGGGTGGCTCCAGTTCGCTATGCGAACAAGCAGTCGTTATAACCCTTTTTGAAGTTGAAGAAGAAGTGAGGCGGGCCTGGCGGGCCTAGCCGGGCCTAGACGCGCCTCCAGCGCCCACCAATAGGAGCCCCGCTAGCACGCTGCGGCCCCGGGCGGCCCCGCGGTGAGCCCAGCCGGGCCTAGAGCCGGGCCCGCCTGCGGCCGCGCCTGCCTACCGCGCCGGGCGGGAGGCTCTAGGCAGCGTTGCCACATGGCATTCCCTGGGCCGTCTAGCCGGGCCGGGGCCGGGCCGGGCCGGGGCCGGGCGCAGCGCAGAGCAGGAAAGGAGGCTGTCGCGACCGTCCGGCTGCGCCCCTGGCTGCGACCCGCGAGCCCTCTCACACGCTGCTGAGCGGAAATTGCAAAGGACGTGCCAAAGCCGGAAATTGCCCTGCGTCCAGCAGCAGCCATCTCAGACGAGACGGCGGCGGCCCTCGGGGGCTTCCTGCCGGGCCCTACAGCTGCGCGAGTTGCGCGGGCGGAGGACCGGGGCGGGCCTACTGGCAAAGCGGACCACATTGTGGTTAGGCCACAGGGCGAAGAGTTCTCGGACCCGTCACTAGGGCAATCGTGGATCTGGTAGCGCGGGTCCGCGAATCTCGCCAGCGTCGGCCAATGAGCGTCAGCGAACGTCGGGGTTGTATCCAGCGACATACAACCTACAACCTAATGGAGGTCCCTGATTGGCCAATTCGCCCCGCGAGTCGTTTGTTTTTGGACGAATTGACCAATCAGGGATCTCGGGTAGGTTGTAGGTTGTAGGTCGCTGGATAGACCCCAGGTAGGAAACAGTTCAGGAAGCATTACTGTTCTGCTTTGGAGCAGGTGTAAATGGAGTGAAATACCCCATTGACATGTTCAGAGATTCCTGCTGTAGAGAGTTCTAACGATTCGAACTAACAAAGAAATCAGTACAGTACTGGTCTGAGAAGAGGGCGAGAATTCCCCGTGCATCTCAATCTGCATCGAGTTCTGCAGGTTGGGTTTAAGACGATTATATGCTAATACAAAAATTGGCAATTGAGAAAGATAATATTTACTACCCTATAAATATTGCAGCGACTAGAAGCCCCACCCTTCCACTAGCGACAATAACATGAAATTGAACACCAGACCCGCAAATATTATTTTGTTGTTGAGGCTTCGTGCCAGCCGCGGGCTGCCCGGCGTCACAGCGTGCGTCATGCCTTCCGCTGCCCCCCCCCCCCACTTTCCCCCTCTCTCTCTCCTTTTCCCACCGGTCCGAAAAAAATCCGCACGGAGCCGCTTGAACCAGTGAAATGACACAATACACAAGTGATCAGCGCGTGTCAGCAGATATCACGTGCCCGTGGGATAGGCGCATGTGTACCGGGTATTTTGTAAAAGAGACAGGTATTACGAGCCAGGCGCGGATTAGGGGGGGGGCGATCGCCCCCCCCCCC